TAGAACAAAAAATCTAAAATGAAATTTAACCAAAATTTGTAGATGTGTAATAGCATTAAAATACAATTGTTTTAAAAAAAGGAGGGGGGCAGGAGGACACCCAATAATCATCTTGACTATAGGGGGAACATAAAGCTTTTATAAATCAGCCCAGAAAAATTTATCCTGAAAATGTATCTGCCTAGGCATTAAAAACCTACAGATCAACTCTTTATAGAGATGAGTAGACTTAAGATTTTACTTAGTGTTTAAAAAATAAAATCATTAACCTTATGCGAGTGAACATGTAGAATTTTGTAAGGCTTTAACAATAGCTGTGCTAAGCACACTTGCAATATGAAAATGTGAGGTCCAATTTTTTCCCCCCACAATGGTATGTGAACTGTGGATCTGCAATGACATAATAATGAGTCAGAGGGAATTAAGATTAACCATGAAGAGACATTGTCTTGGACATGCACTCAAAGCCTTAACATTATTTAGAAACTTGAATATCTTGAAAACAATATCAATACATAGCCCAAAAAAGTGTTTTTAAAGCAGAACAACCCACAACCGAGATTCTTTAAATTAAGAAAGGGATAAACACTGCAAAGGAAAATTATTGAGAAATCAATCCATAACCATAGGCTTCTGCATGTCATCTTCACACTCTTGGAAGGAAGTGAAGAATTATATGAAAATTTTGCAAGATCATTAAAATACCAGGATCTCCTAAACAAAATATGGTGGCTGCAGAATTTATATCTTTTTCCATCTTTCCAAATAGTAACATTGATAAATTCTGTAGTGTCTAGAAAGTGGATGAAGGTTTTCAAACTATTTGCATAAATATCTTGAGTCCTATAGAGCTGAGGGAGACCAATTTATTTCATGTTAGGTTAGCACATAACAATTGCTCTGCCCCAAACTTGCTGAACAATATCAATCACATACCCTTACTTATGGATGATAGACATCAAAGTATTTTTCTTCATTTTGTGCAGGAAACTTAAGCTTTATTAAAGAATTGTAATTTTTTTCATCTCCTGTCTTAAACTCTTTCTACAAAGACCATCTTGATTTAATATTCCAAAATCTTTCCCCAGATTATTGGAGTGCCTGGTCAACATGAGATTTTTTTGGGGTCGTGACTTGGAAAAGACACTGCTCTTTCTGGCTGGCAGAGGGTTGGAGTTTTTTTTTTTTAGATGGCTTTTTAATAGCATATTTTCAGTGGTGGTTGTCATAAAGTAAGATTCCAATTTCAGTTTATAAGAGTTTTATTCTTTTAAACCCTTTAGACCATGATATTTACTTAAGAAAATGCTTTGTAGCTCAGATTTACAAAATTGTGACTGGTAATTAGTGGGCACCTCATTTGAAATACTTTAGAAGGACCTGATTTTCTACAAGTGCTGTTCATCCACCTCCTGAAAATCTGGCTCTGTGGGTACCTCTAGACTGAAATAAAAGACCTACAGTTGGCCCTGGTCAGCTGACTCAGGCACCCAGGTCTGAGCCCTCCCACCTCATGGGGTCCCAGAGTATGGGCTTCAGCCAAGCCTGAACATCTACACCGCAGTTTTACAGCTCCATGAGTTTAAGTAAGCTGACCCGGGCCAGCCATGGGTGTTTAATTACTGAGTAGACGTACTAGTAAGGTGTCTCAAGGAGTCTCTCTCTATCTCAAAATCACTCATTACTCCTGAAATCTTGGCCATTGCAATATGTTCATCTTTTCTGCTGAAGGTGATGCTTGTGAATTTTATGTAAGAAAATAAATGAAATCCACTTTTGTATCCTAAATTAATTGATACATATTTTATTTTACAATTTCTAAAATGTGTTAATAATAAATCTGTGAGCGTATACAATTATGTATGTCTCTGGGTTCATGTACAAACAAGGACATCAACATATGCATCAGTGTCAACTAAACTGGATTCCAACCTCTTTGGTATATGTAAATATGACCCTACTCACTCAAAAAAAATAGAGTAAAGAGATGCTCATGACACTGTATCCTGAAAGTCTACAAACTCAGGCTTTGCATTAAACAAATTCCAGGTTGCATACCCTCCACAGAGAATACTACATTCATCTTCCTCAAAGTTCAGCTCTAGGGACTGTTAACAGGAGCTCCCAGCTGATCTCAGTTACTGAGGTAGAGGTTGTTTCTAAGGTGAATGGGAACCAAACTATAGGGGACATTATAAATCTAAGGTGAAGATGTCATCTTTCTCCAACAGCTATGTGCTCCATAAGTGGCTATATACATTCTGTACTAGATGAAAAATTCCAAATGGTCCTCAATGATAACCCCATGGTGGAATGTTGAGGTTATCTAATGTGGAGGTCACAAACCCACCGATAACTGTGAGACAGTTGAAACCAAAAAGATAAAGTAAAAATTTTTCATAGCCTAGTGGAAAAAACCCTTTCTAGCCACCATGGCTACTTGTGAATCCAGGAGTTAGTCTGCTGCAAAAGCAACCCTGGGCTGTACACAACATTGACCAATTGTGGGTATACCACTTTATTAACGGGCAACTTCACCTGTGGTACCCTCATGTTATTTCTTCATACCTCCCAGGATCACTTCCAACTTCTCTAAATTGAGCTTTAGCCAAGCAGAGAAACTGTAATAATCTGTGTCCAGCAAAAGAGACATAAACTTGAGTGCAATCTCAGTAGCACTGAAGGCTAGACAGTCTCACTATCTTCCTTAGAGGCATTATATAATATAATGTTGAACACAATGTAAGGAAGCATGGAACCCTGTAGTAGCCCACATCAGAGAGTATTCAGGGTGGATGAGCAATTGATAACACATTCTGAGGCCTATCTGAGTGGAAAGAATGGAACCACTGAACTGTTTCCATCCATCACTGCCAGAGTCCATGGATGAGTTGGCAAAACCTCATGGTCAACAGTATCAAACTGCTGACATTGCTAAAAGAGTCATTGTAGAAGGAGAGTAGATTATTGACCAATGAAATCAGTGAACTCTTTGTACTAAATCAAGGACAAAATCCAGACTGACAAGGAAGAGGAAGTTAAGGAAAGCCAGATCTGCTTTGCCCTACTTCCATCTCATTCATCTTAATCAAAAGTGGAAGTTTGGAGATATGGCAATGAGCAGGAAATTCCCAGTACAGAAGTTTCATGAGAAAGGGCCTAACAGTCATTTGTGTTATAAGACGGGGGCCCTAAGATTAAAAATTGTTATTTCCAGGTATTACGTTTTCACATTTTTCTGTGAAGCATTGTTAGGCAGTATTTTTATAAGGCTTCTGTATGTAATTGTCACAACAGAAAATATTGGCAACAAATGAATTAGAATTAATATGCAGTATAATTAAATGAATATGCACTTCTTAGACAAATGATAATGCTTTATATTGTTTATGCAGGTACAGAAGGCTTGGGATTTAGCATCACTTCAAGAGATGTACCAATTGGTGGCTCAGCTCCAATTTATGTGAAAAACATCCTTCCAAGAGGTGCAGCTATTCAAGATGGGAGACTGAAGGCTGGAGACCGACTTACTGAGGTGATGAAATATTGTATACTATTCCTCTAGTCTAGTTCAAAAGGTGCTTTCTGTATTTTGGCATGAGTCACTGGATTAGTTCATTTAAAATATATTATCCCAGGAAATGTAACAAATTAAGGGCTGTATATTTGCAACATGGCACATACTTAAAAGGAGGGTCCCCAGCCAGGTTAAGAGTAATGATTTTACAAAACAAATTTCTTTAAATAGAATCATAGAATCGTAGGACGGGATGAGACTTGAGAGGTCATCTAGTCTAGTCTCCTGCACTCATAGTAGGACTAAGTATTATTTTAGAGTAGACCATCCCTGACAGGTGTTTGTGTAACCTGATCTTAAAAATCTCCAATGATGGAGATTCCACAACCTTCCGAAGCAAGCTTATCCAGTGCTTAACCATTCTGAGAGTTAGGAAGTTTTTCCTAATGTCCAACCTAAACGTTCCTTTTTTGCAATTTAATCCCATTGCTTCTTGTCCCATCCACAGAGGTTAAGGAGAAAAAAATTTTTCCCCTCTTTCTTGTAACAGCCTTTTATGTATTTACACCAGTTCTATCACTTTTCATAATTAAAAATGAATTGACTTTTAAAATCTAGTGCACTTTTCACCTTTCATGCTGTTTGTTTTTTGTACCAGCAAAATGCCACAGTGTTGGATTGCAAACATCATAGGGGGTTGTTTATAGGTTCAAGGGAAGAAACCCTACTTCCATTAGAATTTTTCTGAAATTATGTGGATGGAGGTACAGTAGTTGTTCATTAATAAAGAGTAAATTGTCATTGTGCAATCTGCCTTGAGTAAACTGCAGACCAGGGAAGGAATTGAGTCTCAGAGTCCCAGTTCTCTCATTGGCTTCCCACTTTCTCCAGATACATTGCTAGCTTGGTCAATGGCAGCCCCTTGCCTCCACCCATTCCCTGCCTGTGCCCACACTTGGATCTGCTAGGTGCATGCCCTATGGATTCAGAGGACTGTGGGGCAATCCCTACTTTCCTGTGTAGGGCAAAGCATTTTTTTCACAGAATTATTGGAAGGGGGATAAAATTGGGAACATTTTGATCATTAGAGTTTTTTATAAAAGCTTGATTTTTTTGTAAGACACAAATTTTGGTATGTCAAGGTTCCTTCCCCACTCTGAACTGTAGGGTACAGATGTGAGGACCTGCATGAAAACCCTCTAAGCTTATTTTTACCAGATTAAATAGATAGATAGATTAAAACTTCCCCAAGGTACAAACTATTTTACCTTTTGCCCTTGGACTTTATTGCTGCCACCACCAAGCGTCTCACAAATATATAACCGGGGAAAAAGCCCGCGTGGAAACGTCTTTTCCCGCAAAATCCCCCCCAAACGCTACACCCCCTTTCCTGGGGAAGGCTTGATAAAAATCCTCACCAATTTGCGTAGGTGAACACAGACCCAAACCCTTGGATCTCAAGAACAATGAAAAAGCAATCAGGTTCTTAAAAGAAGAATTTTAATTGAAGAAAAAAAGTAAAAGAATCACCTCTGTAATATCAAGATGGTAAATACCTTACAGGGTAATCAGATTCGAAACGTAGAGAATCCCTCTAGGCAAAACCTTAAGTTACAAAAAGACACAAAACCAGGAATATACATTCCATTCAGCATAGCTTATTTTCTCAGCCATTTAAACAAAACAGAATATAACGCATATCTAGCTAGATTACTTACTAAGTTCTAAGACTCCATTCCTTTTCTGTTCCTGGCAAAAGCATCACACAGACAGAGAGACCCTTTGTTTTTCCCTCCCTCCAGCTTTGAAAGTATATTGTCTCCTCATTGGTCATTTTGGTCAGCTGCCAACGAGGTTATCCTAGCTTCTTAACCCTTTACAGGTGAAAGGGTTTTTCCTCTGGCCAGGAGGGATTTAAAGGTGTTTACTCTTCCCTTTATATTTATGACAAGGTACAAAATAAGTGGCCCTTTAAGGATGTAGATGAAACCAAGGGCATATGTCTCCTGCTGCTTTGGAATCATAAGATCTCTCCTCTTCTTTCCAACTAAAAGGTGCGGCTAGTCTTTGAATGCTGGGGAAGGTGTTGCAACACTGGAAAAGTGCTGAAACAAAGCAAACAAAGGGAAAACAATGAGAAATGCTCTCTTTTATTTTAGTGGGCATTTGGGAGGGTTGGGAGGCTTTGAGGCTGAATATCTTGTTCAGTGTTGGGAAGTGGAGTGCTTTTGCTTTGTAATATGGTCTGTTTGTTGCTTTTTTGTTTTTGTTTTATATGGCCTTCAGGGTGTAAGGATTGCATCTGTAATTTACGACACTGGCTTCTAAAGCCTGGTATTGGTGTTATTTTATGGTTCCTTAAATGCAAATAAATTAGAGGAAAAAACACAATTGAGGGAACAGTGGGGGCCAGAGAGAAGATTGTAAGAAAAAAATCGTAAAGTAGAGCATCACAGATATTGGAGATAAGGAAAACAGAGTAGATTGAGAGAGCAAATCAAAGCATATACTTGTTGTTTGATAGAAAAGTCAGTTAAAAACAAATACCTCTTACCCTTTCAGGTTTACTTGCAAAATTCCCGGCTCTCCATCCCCTCTGCTCCTGCAGATGAGATCGTTGTAGTGTCATATTGCTTCAAGGTGGAGATTCACATTCTGTCACGTACAATATTGAGCTTAAATAAGATGTTCTGGTGTCAAACAGTCAGCTTGAGCCAAAATTTTCTTTTAAATATTGGTCCAAACTTGTTCCTGACGTAACTCCATTTCATTAACTATTACTTACAATGGGGGATGGATTTTGACCTAATATCTTTTATTTAGATTAATTGTCACTTCCAAAATGAGTTATTTATTCTCTTTCATGTCTGTCCGCTAAGATTTCTTTTGTCACTTTTGCACTTGATATCGCTACATTTACCATTTGTCTTCTTTCCAGCTGAGTGTATGTGACAGGGTGCTAGGAGCCTAGTGCTGACCTGTATTCTGGTACTAAGGCACTAGCTATTCCCCCTTAGAGTGGATTTAATTGAGAGATGGGTGTGCAGTGGCTTAATTAGGCAGGAGGCTGACAAGCCAGTGAGAACAATCAACCCATCAGATGGGAACACTTAAAGTAGAGGAGGCTGGCAAGGGCTAGGGCAGTGGCGCCCCACTTACCCCTGTCCATCCTTCCCCTTCCCCCCCAGCCACGGTTCAGACCCTAGGCCAGGAGAGAGACCATTGTTGGGGCAGGGGGCGAGGCTGGGGCTGGGAGTGGAGCCACAGCTGGGGATGAAAGCCTGGGCTGGGGCAGAGCGGGGCTGGGTGGTGCTGTCTGCCCACCTCCCATGGGTGCTGGCCCAGGCCCTGCTGTGCCCCCCCTGAACGTTTCTCCACAACCCCCTAGGGGGACATGCCCCACAGTTCAGGGACCACTGGGCTATGGGGGATGCAGGATGTCAGGATAAGGGTATCTTTCCCTCTCTGCCCCTGGAGAGTGGGTTAAGGGGGTGGTTTATATCCACTTGTATTTTGTTGCACAAGGCTGTACTGATGAACTGATGATGGAGGGGACCTAATAACTATCACACTGGCGCTTATAAACCTGGACAGTATCCCGCCTGTTTGTGATGGTCAAAGGGGTGGAGAAGGGAGCTCCGTTACAGTGCCATATATGCATAATATATTTTTTCAAGACACTGGTCAACCAAAGACCTTTTTCTGATTCATAGCATTCCTACCTTCCCTTCATTTCTACTTTTTCCCTCTCTACCCATTTCTTTCATCCTTTCCCGGGCTCTCCCCAAAGTCAATGTTTCACCCTCTTGTTGCTTTGGTCTTTTCTCAATCTGTGACTCACCTCCTTGTACCAACACAGCAGTGAAATAAAAATTCACAAGGCCTCTTATTGAGTTTAGTTTGCTGCTGCACCAACCTATGGAAAAGCCTAAGAAAGTGAAACTGACCAGATTCTACAAATTTCCCTTTTCTAATCTTTGTGAGCAGCAGAGCAAAGTGAAGCCAGCAATATCTCTTGTCAATTTCACTTGGTAGCTTGCTCAGGTGTTGAGCAGAGTATCAGGGGAGGAGGCAAGAGGCAAAGGCTGTCAGCATGCCAAAGCAACAGGGTTTTGCATTCCACCCTATAGCATGTTTGTCTGTGGTTTCTTCCCTCTGTTATACAGGGACAGAGTCTACTCTCAAAACATGTTTTATATATATCTGTTGTGCAGTCTGTAATGTGTATGTGGAGGGAATGCTAATTACAAGATAAAACTTGGGTCTCCAGGTTTCCGTGTGATGTTGCATCAATAAGTAAAAGATTGTTTTGATGTATAGTAGTTGTCACTATCAAATATCTATCTGTTTAAACAAAATGTCACATAAATCCATGTTTGCAACACATCTTTGATGCAGTTTTAAAAAATTCAGTGTTCTTTAAATAATAATCATAACATTCTTCATAATGACAGGTTTCAGAGTAACAGCCGTGTTAGTCTGTATTCGCAAAAAGAAAGTTAGTCTCTAAGGTGCCACAAGTACTCCTTTTCATTCTTCATAATTTGGGTGAAAAACACAGGTTAACATGCCAACATTTTACTTGGGTTTCTATTTGGCTATGCAGTAGGTTTTTTTTAAAAAAAAAAAGAGAGAGAAGTTTTTCACAAGTACAAGGAACAGGTAGGTTCAACTCCCATTTAAAGTTGATAGGAATTAAGCTACTAACTCCCACTTGTGCCTTTGAAAATCTCCCTGAAAAACATGTTTGTGGGGTGTGACCATAAAGCCCTTCGTGTCAGCTGGCAGGGAGGGTTACAAGAATATCCTAATCCTGGAATGTGCATTCTGGTTTACCAAAGAATATACTGACAGGTTTCAGAGTAACATATATATATACACACACATGTATAAGAACATCTTCTGTATTTTCCACAGTATGCATCCGATGAAGTGAGCTGTAGCTCACGAAAGCTTATGCTCAAATAAATTGGTTAGTCTCTAAGGTGCCACAAGTACTCCTTTTTTAAAGAATATACTGTGAGGTCGTAAATAAAAGCCATGGTCACACTAGTTCATATCCTCGTGAAATGTGTGTACCAATGCTATATGTAAGAAGTTATGTATCTGTGCTAAAAATATGTTTCTGAAATCCAAATTAAAGCAGAGTGGACAAACAGGTTTCTGCCCAGCAAAGGATGTTTATTCACTTGTCTCTGTTGGTCTACATGTAAATTAAGCATTGTAAGTTAACACAATAGGGAGTCATTTACATGCAAAGTCAGCAGGAGGATGTGAAGGCAGCAGGCTGGAGAATTAATTATAGGGGTGGGGAGGGGAGTTGTCCTGAGTCTGAGGGGCAAATGGTGAAACAGTATTGCCAACCCCAAATGTTCAAAAAGCATGAGTCAGGCTCACTAACAATCATGAGATTATGTACAAATATTAGATTTGGTGTTCTTTTTATTTGACTTCTGCTTTTTGAGACTTGAAGGTGCACTGGGGTCACATTTTGAAGCTTTCTCCACAGCCATGAGGGCTAGAAACTTTTTTTTTTTTTTTTTAAAAGAATGAAGGCTAAAATGATCACATATCCACTTGACTCTAGGACTTGGGCCTTTAAGGAAACAATTATCATGAGACTCAAAACAAAATCATGAGAGTTGGCAACATTAGGAATATAAGGGGAATGCAAGGAAGGAAGGGACACCTCTTTATCCTGCACCTAGGAAGTAATCGAGCAGTGCAATTACATCCATGAAAACAGGATCACAACCAGCCTTGGCTGAATTGTTGCAAAGGATATTTGGGGTGAGACTGTTAGCCTGTTAAGTTTAGTCTCTAGGGACCGTGTTATGATTTTGTTTTATATGTAACCCTTCTGTTTCCATTATCCTTACTCATGATCTCTTGATCTTTGATCATAAACTTATGTTTGGTTTCACTATATATGTATCTCACTGCTATGGTACTGTACAAGGAGCTGATTCTGAATTGAATCATTTAAGCTATTGTGTATACTATTCCCCTGAAGACGGTATATCTGAGTGTTTTGTGGACAAGGGGTTGAACACTACAGGGGAATGCTTCAGCAGGGCTCTGGGATTGGGGTGCATGTATTGTTAACCTGCAAGACAAAATAAGGGCTGGCAGAGCCCAGAGGAGCTCATTTGGGTGGATAAATGTCTGCAGGTGTGAGGGAGCTGACCCACAGTTAAGCACAAGCAAGTCTCCCTCTTGCTGGAGGTAACTTGGTGACTCACAATCCTGGGCACCTCGAGAACCATCACAGGGGACAGTTCCACTTCTGCCACACACGCTCTGTTCTTGAGCATAAAGGTGCCTGAGATCTCCAGAGCTGTCAGTGTGAACCCTTTCCTGGTCATCTCTTTCTCTTGAATGCTAGAAATCATCAATGGAAATGTAAGACCAGAACCACGAATATTGTGCATTTTCCTATAGATTCCTTGCTCCTACTGATCCCATTAGCAAAATTCCCATTGACTTGAATAGGAGCAGATGCAGAGTCATTATGTTAGTTCCTTCTAGATTTGTAACAGAGTTTGGCCTCCAAGTGAATTGTGCTGTGTGATGGGTAGAGTAATATTTTCTAATGCTGGAGTCTTAGCAGTTTTATATGTTTTATTTGTCACAGGTAAATGGAGTTGATTTAACCGGCAAAACCCAGGAGGAAGCTGTCTCCCTGCTGAGAAGCACTAAGATGGGAGGGACTGTGAGCCTTTTGATTTTCCGTCAGGAAGAAACATTCCATCCAAGGGAACTGGTGCGTAAAACAGAGAGCATCTAGGAGATTTTAGATTAATTTAAGCAAATGGTCTGGTCCTGATACCTGCTGGTAAATGTGTGTGACCAGAAATGAAGATAAGAAAATCAGTTTTTGTTATTCTCTGGTCATGTTAACTTTACATGAACGTTTTTTATTTTTTTTTTTAGCTCTGGTCTTGGAATTGTATGTTCACTACAATATGTGACTGGGAGTTTTAAAATCAGATTATGGTGGTGTTTTGGGGGACAGGAAATGCTTATTACAAACAAAACTATTGCATGGACTTTACTTGAATACATGAGACAAGTGGATTATTTCATACCTTTCACATTCACAAGTCTGTGTTTGAAAACTTACTGTTTGTCCTGCCACTTGATCAAAAAAATTTCCGAGCACTTAAAAGTAAGCCAGAATGGACTGTATGAATGCTATGGTACCAAAAGAGGAATTTGCAAGAAAAAAAGGTTATTATTTTAGTATAAAGCATCCCCTATGTGGTATTGGACCCCCATTGTTATTAATTTAGCAGGGTAATTCACAGAATGTATTCTGAATACTTTGAGTGAAATGAAACAATCATGGTTTATTACAACACCGGTTCAACTTGCAAAGTGTATACACATATTTCCTTGATTATTACCCATGATAACTTTTGTTATAAAAAGGTAGACTATGAATATAAACAGTATTATGTTTTATATTCAATTAAAGTGCTATGGTTATAAATATATAGCTATTAAAATAAATTGTTTGGATGCATTCTCATAAACAGGCAGAATAAGAGCAACTGCTGTCTTTTTTGGTGGGATGAACAAATTGTTTCATTTCTACAGGATTTTTAATATCTTGAATGCAGAAAGAATGCATTTTTATTTGGCATTTTAAAGCATT